AAAGGCACAGATCCCTAAACAAGACCATATCTGCAGATGAAACGTGTTGTTTGTAGACGCATTTGTTAAATGTGAACTAGCACCTCATGACTACACCACGTTATGTAGCCAGATGTTGTTGTTTTTTTGGTTGTTGTTTTTTTTTCCCCCTTTTGGAGGGGGGGGATTTTGTTGTTCTTATAAGGTTCTCCTACTTGGGTATGTGTTTTCTTTTATTTATGTATATATTTTTTTATTTTTTATTTTTTTTATGTATTGTTCTGTATTAAAACAAATGCAAATAAATATATTTGGAAAAATATATATATATGGGCGATATATTGCGTCACCAAAAATTATTGAGGTCATGTATAGGCCTATATATTGCGCGATAAGTCGATATATTGATTATTACGACAGGTCATCACTGCAGCACTCTGTTGAATTATATTGAATTGAGTCAATTATATTACAGTTTCATAATATGAAATATTCATATGCCTTTATAAGCAACCTCTTAATCTTTTAAGCACTGACACACCAGACGCACGTCGCAGCAAAATGCCCCATTCTGTACTCCATGCAAGCGCTTGCTCTGCTTGACAGGAAGGACAAATGGATTTGTAACGGTCGCTTTGTCGCGTAAAAGTAATTACTTCAACATGTCTGCTTTACCAGAAAAAGTATCTGTGAGAAGTCATATACAGTCTGTGAAGGGAGGTGCCTTCTAGAGGAGTTTATTCACACAGTGCAGAGTATCGCTAAAACCACTTCAGACTTCACTACAGCGCTGTACTCTTCAGCTCACCTAACGCTTTAAACGTTCAAATAATTATTATAACAGTTATGTTGTTCTTTATTAACCATTTCAAAATTACGAACTGTTGTTATTTGAAACCGACACAGCTACAGCTGTGTGCTCAACAATCCCTTCAGCAACCAGATTCAATATCTCAACATCAGCAGACACTGTCAACCATGTCCAGGTATCTGTTTATTTACTGAACTGATCTCTCAAGTTATATAGTGCTGACATTTCATATAGACCAGGCAGACATATTCATTCACATTAATGATTCATTTTGTCCATTATAGATCAAGGTCTACATTTCTTGTACATAGTGCTGATTTCTGCTGCTGGATCTCTGTTGATTGTAACTGCAATCATGATCTTCTGGTTCTGCAGGAAAACAGACCAAGAGGGCAAGTATTACCAACTGCTGCGACATCTATAAAAATACATGTTATTAAGTAATGAATAGACTCCGTGGCGTTGAATGGCTAGAAAAATAATGCACAACTGTTTCATGTTGTGGTCACATTAGTAACTCAGCGGTTTGCTTTTACTACAGTTACCACACCACAAGACATTTGTCAGGTTTATAGGTTTATTGTTTAGATTTCAAGAATATATTGCGAATTAGTTATTTATTTAAAGGAAACAGGATTGATTAATAGGATTTAGGATACCGGTTTTTTTTAAGGTAGCTCTTGTTTCTAAAGTTCCTATTCATTGTGCGCTTCACACTTCTTTCCAGTAGGTGGTGGGAATGCACCTTTTAAGTCCATTAAATCCTAAAAGAAGAAGAAGAAGAAAGTCTATGCAGAAACCAAGCGATAAAGATGGCTCTGAAGACAACAAGATGCTGTATAGTGCCAAGTTGTGGAAAAATACAGTTTTTGCATTGCCTTCCTTCTGATCCCAACATTAGGATGATTGGATGAACTTTATTTTTAATGAAGATCCAGACCACGTCAGTAAGAACTTGGTCCTTTATTCATAGGGTGACCATACAGGCCATTTTTATGGGACACACCCTTGCCAGGATTTCTATATTGCTTAAATCGGATTGTGCAGTCGAGCGCAGTTGCTCTCCACCGACTGCGCTGATCAAAAGCATGATGGGAAACGACTGACTGACGACACAGCTTAATGCTTATTAGTCTTATAATATTTCAGCTAGGCGTTAAGTGTATCTCCAACTTTAGTCAGTTAAATTAGAATGATATGGCACTAGGCTGTTACCAAATAAATCAGTGTCAACAAAAGCATCTGAAGTTTCTTTTAGATGTACAGTATTTACACAGTCTAATGCTGCTCAGAGGGCAAGCATTTACACAATTACAGTTGCATAATGTGATGAGATGTATGATCTCGAAATACGAAATGAATGACAAAATGATAATTTGATTGTCAAAGTAATATCACCAGTAGGTGGCTGTAAGTCAGTCTGTTAATGAGCGAGCCATCCATTCAACAGATTTGTTCAAAACACTGATTCATTGCGGAAAAAAATATAAAGTGGCTATCTAAATAAATGGGTAATTGAATCACTCACTCAGCCAAATCGTTCCAAGCCAAATTTTACAAAGCTCATTGTTCTGAAAAGCGAGGTGTGCTCTGATTGGCCAGCTATCCAATGCGATGTGATTGGCCGAATGCCTCTAGCGTGTGACGGAAATGTTACGCCCCTTGCCATACTGTGATGTATGTCCCGGTCTGTTTTTACACATCTGTCATTGTTTTCGACAGTTCGCAGTAATGAAGAAATAACATATGCTGATCCAACATTCTACAAAAGAAAAGCACAAAAAACAGTAAGAACATTTATTGTTGTGTACATTGTGTGTATTATTTCAGCAGTGAGTGAGGGAATGTGGTTGAGAACCAGTGACCTATCACACACACAACAGCACTACATCAGTTTTAGTCTGTCTGATAAATGGTCAGTAATGTTCTTGATAACTACATGTGTGATGTGAACGTGCTTGTGCTTCTTTCAGAGAGTTCAAGAGGAGGAAGATGTGGTGTATGCAGGAGTCGCCATGAGACACTGATAAAACTATGATTCTGTTGAAGAACTGCCAACTTTCTAAAACCCAAAAGAAGGAGGTGGATTATTAGTGTGGATGACAAGCCTTAGAATATTGAGGGTTGTTTCTGTTTATGTATGGTATATACATAATGTTACAGTTTTTCTCAATCGATTTGACACTTTTCTCCAATGTAATATACTTCTCAAAACAATTAACAGCTATCTAAACACAAACTAATCTTAACCAAACAGTTCAACTTTACTGCAAAATGAAGCACTGTGATTTTTTTTCTAGTAACGCGTTTATTAAAAGTAAATATTAACATCAAATCTATAGGTGTGTTCTCTATTGATTATAAAATATATTCAGCAGTAGATGCACACATATGCTAATGAAAATATATGTTTATTGCAATTTTCAAACGGAGTATTGTTTAATATATATTGTGTATATCTAAACGAAATACAGTTTTTCTCAGTTGCTTTGTTTCTTTTCTAGAGTCAGAAATTAAATTCTCAAAACTACTTGTTCAACCTCCACATCATCTAGTCACTTGTGCATATCATAAAAGCAGTTTCTCATTCTTTTGAACAAGTTGCGATTGCTTTGGTACATTCATGCAATTGATTATGTGCATTTGTCTGCGGTTTCCTACATTATCAGTTGCTGTTGTCATGTTGCTCAAAATGTATTATATAGCTCTGTGCAATCATCATGTAAGTCATTAAATGCAAAATGGCTGATCTAGTTGTCATAAACTAAGCATATTTTCTACACATTTCCATTAGTCTTTTTGTAAATTTGCCATGAATTGTGCAAATAAATCTTGACTTTCACAAATGAAGAGAATGTGGATCAACCAATGATAAACCAGTTCTCTGAAATTCTTCATACAGTGCGGCATGCAAAAGCAAGTTCTGCCTAAGGGGTGTTTCCTGTATTTGTCTGTCTAAATTTGTATTTAAAACAATATAGTAACACTATAGTAAAAGTGTAACCGTGAATCCTATCCAGTCTCTTTCAATCAATATCCCACATACAGTAATTTGTAAATTTGTACTTTTGAAATGGATATCGCATACATAAGAAGTGCAGCCTTCTACATTTCAATATAATAACTGTCCTCCAAATGGTTGCCATAGTTTACATCAGGTAATATTACAGTTTTTCTCAGTCACTTTGGTGAATTTCTCAGAGCAGAAATGAAATTCTCAAAACTACTTGTTCAACCTCCACCTCATCTAGTCACTTGTGTACATCATAAAAGCAGTTTCTCATTCTTTTGAACAAGTTGTTGCTTGTTCTAAATTCCCTATGTATGTTTATAGGGGATGGACCTTTATTATGAATGTGTGCCGCTAGTTGACGTGAGTTTCCGCTATTCCGATTTACTTTCACTTTCACTAGCCGCTTGATCCGCCATTTCTTCAGGTGTTAATGTGCGTGATTGAATAAAGACCACATTTAACACTTTGTGGCCTTAAGTTGTACAATATCCAATCCAATTGGAGCAATGTTGTGCCATCTGCTGTGAACAGTTAAATACTTCAGATAAAGAGTTGAACAGTGCCCTGTCTCCTGTCGCACTTCTTACCCGAGTCCCGTGGTGGATTAGCATCAACACCCCTACCGATCTATTAGTCCCGTTCACATATGCTAATGAAAATATATGTTTATTGCAATTTTCAAACAGGGAGTTTTGTTTAATATATATTGTGTATATCTAAACGAAATACAGTTTTTCTCAGTTGCTTTGTTTCTTTTCTAGAACTCCACATCATCTAGTCACTTGCGCACATCAAAAAAGCAGTTTCTCATTCTTTTGAACAAGTTGCGATTGCTTTGGTACATTCATGCAATTGATTATGTGCATTTGTCTGCGGTTTCCTACATTATCAGTTACTGTTGTCATGTTGCTCAAAATGTATTATATAGCTCTGTGCAATCATCATGTAAGTCATTAAATGCAAAATGGTTGATCTAGTTGATATAAACTAAGCATATTTTCTACACATTTCCATTAGTCTTTTTGTAAATTTGCCATGAATTGTGCAGATAAATATTGACTTTCACAAATGAAGAGAATGTGGATCAACCAATGATAAACCAGTTCTCTGAAATTCTTCATACAGTGCGGCATGTAAAAGCAAAGTTCTGCCTAAGGGGTGTTTCCTGTATTTGCCTGTCTAAATTTGTATTTAAAACACTATAGTAACACTATAGTAAAAGTGTAACCGTCAATCCTATCCAGTCTCTTTCAATGAATATCCCACATACAGTAATTTGTAAATTTGTACTTTTGAAATGGATATCGCATACATAAGAAGTGCAGCCTTCTACATTTCAATATAGTAACTGTCCTCCAAATGGTTGCCATAGTTTACATCAGGTAATATTACAGTTTTTCTCAGTCACTTTGGTGCATTTCTCAGAGCAGAAATGAAATTCTCAAAACTACTTGTTCAACCTCCACATCATCTAGTCACTTGTGTACATCATAAAAGCAGTTTCTCATTCTTTTGAACAAGTTGTGATTGCTTTGGTACATTCATGCAAATGATTATGTATATTTGTCTGCGGTTTCCTACATTATCAGTTGCTGTTGTTCAAGTTGCTCAAAATTTATTATATAGCTCTCTGTGCAATAGTCTTACCACTCAATACATCTAGTCATTAGTTCATCGTATAAGCAATTAGATGCAAAATGGTTTATCTATAAACTGTCAAGCATATTTTCTACACATTTCTATTAGATTTTTGTAAATTTGCCATGAATTGTGCAGGTGAATCTTGACTTTCACTAATGAAGAGAATGTAGATCAACCAATGATAAACCAGTTCTCTGAAATAGCTCAAAAGTGCATCTCATGAACCTTCAATTGGAAAGCATGTAGACAGAGGACAACACGAGTTACAAATTCTGACAATGGATGAACATCCAGGAAATTATCATTAACTGCTGAGAGGAAGAATATGAGTAAGAATGCATGGTGGAAGGGTACAGAGGCAAAACAGAGGAAAAAACAGAAGAGGCCAAGGACATAGGCGCATATCAGATGAAATAAGGGCCACTATTGTGGACCATGTTGTCAGTCAAGGCTTACAATGGCTGAGGTGGGTTTCCTGTGTTTGCCTTTCTAATTTTGTATTTTTGCCTTTGTGCCCATATTTCTTTTCTATATCACAATGACGTAATGTTTTTTGTTTTTTTGTCTAGTAAAGTGTTACTGTGAATCCTATCCAGTCTCTTTCAATCAAAATCCCACATACAGTAATGTATAAATTTGTACTTTTGAAATGGATATATGGCACACATAAGAAGTGCAGCCTTCTGCATTTCAATACAGTAACTGCCATCCAAACTGTTGCCATAGTTTTTTTGTTAGGTTATATAAGAGAGTGTGCACTGTTATATTGACAACATGACTAAGCATTTTGACTATCTTGTTTGTGAACAATGACACAAGCACTTTTCATTCTGATGGCACTGATATGTTCATTGACATAAATACTTACTTTTGAGAGATTAACTAAAGATTTTGAGTAAGTTACAGGCTTTTGCAGGTAATCCATTGTGTGGTGCTGTTTGTACAAATTGTTTTGAGAAATGCAAATATTTCTTTGCAAATATTAAGGACGACTCGAGAAATGCACCAAAGCGAGAAAAACTGAGAAAAACTAAAAATATCTAACTTTTATCACCTATGTGAAAAACTTATTGCCCCTTTAAACTTAAAATCTGTTTGTGCCACCAAGAACCGCAAACAACGTCTTCTGATAACTAGAGATCAGTGTTTTACAGCACTGTGCTGGACATATCTTTTGTACATGAATTATGCTGAATTATTGATCTTGCTTTCATTTCCATCTGGAAGAGAATTTCATTGCATTTTATCTACACTACATGTTTGCTGCGCTTGCATCATAGGGGAAAAAATGTAAGCTGGTTGAATCCATGCTTGACAAGCTCCTGTCTCAACATCTCCACAAGCCTCTTCCTTTGTGGCTGGTGATGTTGTTCTGGACCGTATCAATGCTCTTGTTTCATTCAAAATAAACTTGACTGTCCAACTGCGTGCTCTCAAACTTCAATTCTGAAAAATGTTTGGACATTTACTTATAAACAACAGAAGTTGTCCTAGGATCAAAAATCATAGCACAATATTTAAATAGAAATATAGAAGTGTAGAACTCTTTAGATTTGTGTCCTAGCTTCTCTAAAGGAGAGGCCTTGATTTCTTACATGGTCAATTAGGGTAACTGATTTCATTAGAAATGTGTCTGTACCTTCTACATCTCCTTCCACTTGCTGTCCAGTTCTTCTCTCTCTAGAGCTGTAGTCAAGTCCAGTATTGTCGAGTCCAAGACAAGTCCAAGACCAGGACTAGTCGAGATCGAGTCAAGACCGAGTCCAAAGAGGTTCGAGTCCAAGTCAAATCCAAGTCCAAAAGTTCCGAGTCCAAGTCAAGATAGAGTCCAAATGAGAGAAAAAGAAAGGATCCTCTTCAAGACCACATACTTAACTATTGATAATGTATGTGATGCGAGAGACAGCATATCTCCTAATCTAAGAAAATAATTTTACATTATTTGTAATGATCAAAAAGCATGTGCAAAGTAACAACTCTGTAGGACAGGGGTCTTCAAACTAGTGTGTCTAGTGAGAGCTTGATTAGCTGGTTCAAGTGTGTTTAATTAAGGTTGGAGCTAAACTCGGCAGGACACCGGCCCTCTAGGACCGAGTTTGGAGCTGTAGGATCAAATTATTTTTATTTACTTTATTTACATTTTATTTACTTTAGGTATAGCAATTTCACACAAGCTGAAGTGCGACTTCACATTTTCAGTCTTTTTATTATAGTGTAACAATATTGTTATACAATATTATATATACAGTGGGTACGGAAAGTATTCAGACCACCTTAAATTTTTCACTCTTTGTTATATTGCAGCCATTTGCTAAAATCATTTAAGTT